CCCCCCCTTTTCCCCTTTTCCCCCCAAAACTCTCCCCCAATCAACACCATTTTATTGTAAAGTTATCAATTAGAATGGTAGCAGAAGTAATAAAATGTTTTTGTTTTTGTTTTGGTAAAAAGGTTTTACGTCGCTTGCAAATACATGTACTTAAGACCATATTTGAACATGTTATATGTTTGCTGGTCTTGTTTAACATGATTATGAATATTATAATATTTTGCAACACTCAAACTGTTTATTTGTACTTAAATGCTTACTTACTTTACTTTTACTTTTTTCTTCCGCTTGTACCGCAGGGTGAACTTAAATGCATTCTATAATAAAGTAAATTCTTCCTTATAGATCTAGTACTAGAAATCGTTGCCGGTCTGAAGAGACCCTAAATCTATATTTAGCCTCGTAAGTAAACAACGCCAGCATTGTTTTACTGCTCCCACGTTAGTCCGGGCCATTTTCTGTAGTACGAGGCACGTTCAGTAGTGCTCGGGACTTCCCGGACAGCCCCTACAGATTGACCTCAATTTCCAATTTTCACAGTACCCCATGCCCGGACCGTCCCGAGATTTCATTATGCTGTGCCGCGTCTTTTCTGTATTGTCTCTCATCCTCTCTCCAAGAGCCCCCCCCCCCCCCAAAAAAAAAAAAAAACCCCACTTTAGTCCTAATCTCTACAGCTCCCAAACCCTCCGAAAAAAAGTACCCTCCGCACCCTTTCCCCGGAAAAAGTTGGCATTTCTGAATTTAAAAAAGAAAACCCACAACAAAACAGTGGTCTTAGTTTTGAACCTCTGCATTGTCTCTTATAGTCCAGTTAAAATTCTCAGGGATGCATTTAAAAAGCAACAACACGCACAACACCCATGTGAGAATGCCTACTTGCACTCTTAGTCTTAACCTAGTTTTTTTCCAAATTCAGTTGTCTTTTATTACATCTGAGAGCAATGCGACCCCTTTTAGAATCAAGACTCCGTAATCTCAGGCAAGAATTTTTAGAACTCATGTCGTTTTTTGGAATGATGACATGGTATGGGTTTAACGCCCTAATCGACACTATCAAGTTATTTAAGAGGCGGGACCTCCGATTTCAACGTCCATCTCCGAGCCGAGCGATAATTTCGAGTAAAGCGCCTTTCCCAAGGACACAAGCTAGCCCCACCACACCATAAACTGCAACCCCCCCTCCCTTTCCCCCCCCCCCCCCCCGGGAATGGCCTAAAGACACCTCAGTCTTTTTCTAGCCCAGAAAATGAGCAATAAAATTTCACTTATTTACAAGGCAAGGGTGGTTTCAGGGGGGCTTGCCTCCCTGACTACCTATCAAAAACATGGGGGGTTTCAGGGGGTCATGCCGCCCTGAATTTGTTGACCATAATTTGATGTTTTGCAAAAAGTGGGTGTGAATCGCTTTCCAAAGTGGGTGCGAATCGCTTGTGAAATGGTTGGCGCTAAGTTAAAAAAGATACCCTGCTTTTTATATCCTAGTTTACAATTTATCGACTCATTACAAAAGTCTGAATTCTCTCAAAGTAGTTACGGACCCATTAGTTATATATGTACGTGAACAGTGAGAAGAAACTGCGCCAGCTATTTTCCCCCATCTGTTTAGAGATAGGAGAAAGTATCCATTGGGACAAAATAAACGTGGTATGTAAATTGATTCACTACCGCAGTACCGGCAACAGCGACCGGCAGGCAGGATGTGACATCAAATCATGACAAGGTCCCAACCCCCTCCCCCGCCCCTCTTTTTCCTCCTCCCCGAAAATTATTGATGACTGACTGACGTCATTCACAATACCACAACCACCGAGCCCTCCCCTTCGGATAGGAAAGCTGCTGTGATAGAGATCTAGATCTAGCAATTTTATCAACTATATTGTGATTAGTTTCTTGTTTTGTTTTTGTTCTTGTTTTGTTGTTGTTGTTGTTTTGTTTACTGCATTGGTACATACGGGCCCGCACCCCGTCCTTGCCCCCCCAACCAATCTCTCTCTCTCTCTCTCACACACACACACACACCTGTGCGCTCGCACACATCAAAAGCGATCTAAAAAAAAATACATGGGGATTCTAGATCTAGATCTACTCCGGTAGAAGGGGGTGTAGATAGGGGGTGCAAAAATAATAGATAGATCTATATCTAGAGAAAGCAAGGCCTAGATCTAGATCTAGATCGCGACAGATTTTAGTGCCAGGTGGTCTGCTGATCTTTAATTTTACCATAATATATATATATCACTGAACAATGAAAATGTAACTGTAGCCTACGCTACAAAAGTCAAAGTACCAATAGATCTATGGAGTGTCTACGTACACGGTAACCGGGCACCTAGCCTCAGTATCTACATACATGGTAACCAGGCACCTAGTCTCACCTACTCAGTGTACCTACGTACATGGTAACCGGGCACCTTGTTTCAGTATCTACGTACATGATAATCGGAATGAAAATAAATCAATATTTGTCCTGTGCTGTCACTTGCTGAAAAAAAAGAAAGTCATACTGCGTGTGTGCATCACATTGTGAGTACCGGTTGGGGTCACCAGAGTTCATTCAAAGTCTGTGCGCTGCAAAGTATAGGGCTCTGGAATGGGGGAATTATTTACTGACTTTTTTAAAGACCTGTCGGGGGAGGGGTGGGGATGAAGGCAACACCGGATAACAAAAACTGAACTTGTTGAGTTCTAAACTGCCCGGTTACCCTGTACATGCCCGGTTGCCGGTTACATAGATATTGAGGCTACATGCCCGTTACCGTGTACGTGACACTGAGACTACGTGCCCGGTTGCCAGTTACCGTGTACGTAGATAATGAGGCTAGGTGCCCGGTTACCGTGTACGTAGACACTACGATAGATCTAAGACACCCAACGTGCTACAAGATTTCTCAGCCTTCAAAGTTTAAAGGCGCGGGTCGCACTCGCCGACATCACACATGCCGCCAATCCTAGTGTTCTAGATCTCTAGTAACTAAATCTAGACTCTAGTACCTACCGAAAAAGCGCTCAATATTGAATAGTGAGTGTATACAGACCCGGTAAACGAGAACAAAGTCACAAAGTATAAAGACCCGGTAGGGAAACTCTTTTGTGATTTCGGAAAGTTTCAGCGCCCTCTTACCTCAGGGTAGACCATAGATGTACACTACCAAGGCTCTTCTAGATCTATGGCCTAGGTCTAGATCTAGACAGACAGACATAAATCATAAATCATTGATCTAGTCTCGAGGCTAGCCTAGATCTAGATCTAAATGAAGATTGCGGATGTCTTTTCAATGAACAATCGTTTTTCCTCCGTTTTGGAGTTGGAGGAATCACAATTTGAAGAAAAAAACAATGTCATAATTTCAATCGAGCAGTCACCCTCTCTATTTCTTTGCCCCCCCCCTTCTCTCTCTCTCCTCTGTCTCTGTGTATCGCTCGCATTCTCTTTTTCTTTGTCTGTCTTTCTTTCTCCCCACCTATTTCCCATTCTATCTTTCTCTTGTTCCCTCCTGCCAACGGGAGCATGTCATCTAGCACTTCCCCCTGCTCT